CATGGCCAAAGTTCAAACAATGCAGCAAAGTATGCCAGAATATGCCCAATCATTTCGCATCGTCAGATTTCGAATTTCATATCTTACGCCAAAAAAAAAAAAAGACATTTAAAATTCAATTATCATGATAATAAAAAAAGTAGAACGCTATAAAAACCTTACATAAATCCGTTAAAAATTTTAAAACATTTATCCTGACGTATGTGTATAACATAAAGTTGAGTCGTCTATTTTACAAGCTCTATTTATTTAATATGCAAATTTTATCATGCATGAGGATTAGCTAGCTACATTTCGTCCGCATTGTGAATACGGATTACACATAAAAAGATCCTTTCTTGGACAGTAGTGTTAAAAGAGTCTGATGAAGATAAAACCGAAATCTGAGTAATACCATGACGAGTCACGGCTCCGATTTTATTCAAACTTCCTGTACGCATCCCCTGCGTAATGAATCCTTATCCGGAGACGCTTACGCACAACGGATGTGGCATCGTCCGCCGCGATTCTTACGTAAATACACTTATATTTACGCTGAATATTTCCGTGGTGATACTTGGAATACACCCAAAAAAACTCGTCATAGAATTTAAAAATAAAAAAAAAAAAAAAAAAAAATGTACACATGTACACGTTCAAACTCCGCGAACGAAATCTGATATTGGATATCGATCGCGATTGTTCAGAAATACATAGAGCACTATTTACATCGGATCTCGACAAACTTGCGCCTGCATCTGGGTCGACGAGAAATAATCGTGGGATACAGATCGCAATTTGTATAATTGCATAATTGGGTGCACGGAGCGTGTGCGCGCGCGGAACGAACCGGCACGGAAATTGTAGCAACGTATTATTTTTTCTCTATCCTTCTCCACCTCCTCTCTCCCTCCCCCGCCTCTTGTCGCTATGTCAGCACATTTTTTTTTCGCGAATTTATACTTTAGCAGAATATTTTATCGTCTCACCGAACGGATCTATAATCCTAATGATGGTTTACACACGGCATTGCTGAGGAGGGGAAGACGTACGCGATCTCGGAAACGGAACAATATCTGCAGAACGGATTATCCGCGACGCGGCGATATTGCAGCTGCAACTTGTTGGTCTCCAAAGTTGTTTCCCGTTTGTTCGTTCCGGTGGCCGTAATGATCGATCCGTCTCCGGTTATCGGTTTTCCTATGGAAATTGGCCTCGCCGATACCGCGAGCGTGCTTTTCCGCATAAATAGGAAGTTTTCCTTTGAGGGATAACTTTCCTGTTCGCATGAAAGGCGACATCGTCGTGCCGGAGGTTTCAATACTTCCCGTAACGTAAACGACGATTTATTTCTCTAGTGAGAAAACGGCGGATAACGAAATGTCGCCGATGTCTCGGTCAATGAATTCGTTTCAATTAATGTTTCCGATAATGAGAATCTCGTGCAGTTTCTCCCGAAATGAATGTATAATATTTAAACATTGATTGATTATCGTTGCTTTTATATAACTTTGACGAAACCAAATTCTCCATTATATTTTACAAATATTCGAAACAATTACGAAAAATTTCGTTCTATCATTTTAAAAGATAGGTAAAGAATCGATAAATATTGATAAAATTAACATACAAAATTTATCAAATTTATCGAAATATACAAAATAAACTGTTGACTCGATAAAATTGAATAATAATAATAATTAACGATGTCAGTCATATCTGAAGTTTTATAATTTATCGACAAAGTTTCTTTTATGCTACTTTGTACGCACGATGCTAATGAATCGCGACGCAATCAATGATCGAATTCTACAAGGGACAAAGACGATTTATGTTTCATAAATGTGGCACATCGAGCGCCGACGTATTTCTAGACGCTCGACAATGTCACGTCACTGACGATAAGTTTCTTGAGATACTGCACGTGCCGACGATACATCGAAGGATAAAACGTGCTCGGTTACGCAATTAATGCCCGCATATCCTGCGTAACGCGACGCTCCGTTTATGTTCCTAGCAACACGTCCCACAAGTATATTGTTTCCTTGACCGCAAAACTAATTGTTTCCTTGTTCATTCGTTACAAAAATAGACATTGTTTAAAAAAAGAGAAATAAAAACGACTTGAAGAAAATAATAATACGAACAGTCGTCGAAAGATTCTATTTTCTCAAGCATCATATGTAGACTAGAATATTAAATAAGCCTCTCTACATTTTCTCCAAAAAAAAAAACCCCAATTTGTTAAAGAATCTGACATCATATGAAGGCACATTCCAGGATATTAGATGCGTATATAGTTTTTTAGCATTAGAGGAGAGTAGAGTATTTGTAGACACCGTGACAATGATAAATCATCATCCGAAGCTATGAAACTCTACGCAATGAGCTCTCGAATGGTGCAAAGTGACAGGGATAAAGTGCCACGGTGCCACGAGATGAAGGTTAAAGGTCAGACGTCCAATTCGCGTTATCAGGTCACAGAGTCACCCGAGGACGCACGTGAACTCGCGTGTACCACGGTGGCGTCAATATTTTTTCCGACATTGCGTAGAAGAAAATCTCAAATTACCGGCAAACACGCAATCGAAATTCGTCAAAACCGATAAATATCCTCGCGATAAAAGAATCCTCGTTAATAATTCACGTCCCACCAACATGCGGAAAAATTAAATAAATCAGGTCAAAGGTTATTCATAGCTTATATTTTCAGAAGCATGGCTGAACGAATAAATTATTTTTGTAAACTTTTCATTAATCTGGATATGTTAAAAAACATCGACATAAAGAATAAACTAAACTGTAGCTTAAATTCCACAACGAATTGCGTTATCTTCCAATTGTATGGAAAAATATTGATTATCAATGAAAAAAGTGCTAGAGTTGAAGAGTCCTTGCTGATTAGATGATGGGTTAATTTTATAATTAATATATCGAAATAACACACACAGGTTGTACAAATGTGCGTAGGTTCCGCGTTGCAAAATTTCAAAGTTCAACGTAGTGAAAAACAACGCGTATGATTATTACGAGTGATGTAACTATACTATGCACTGCTAAATCCTCCTGGCAAAATTGGGTACAGGATGCGTCGTTTAAATACAAAGCTGGGATTATATCCGATTCTAAACCGGGTATGTGTGTCATCGAAAATCGAATTTGATTGATATTGAACGTAGGACTAAGCCTTATTAAATCCAATATTACATCTGCGTCTTTCTATATCGCAGCCATGTCGAATATTATATTTAACATGGTGTTAATATTTTTTAAAAATTCTCGGGATAAATCAAAAACATTCGCATGTACATGTACGAGGTCGCTATTAAAAATCAAATCTTTAAAGCATAATGTAAAAAATATATCTTTAAAGCCCAAAAAGCATATCTTTAAAATAAAAAAAAATCTGTAAAAATTATTTTTTATTTTAAGAAGTTTTTTTATAGGTATTATTTGTATTATAACAGAATTATAAATGTACTTTGTCAAGATAATTTGTAAATGAAAGAGAGAAAAATTAATGAAAGTCCAAAAGATATAATTTGTTACAAACCTGTGCGCAGAGTGTGTGTGTGTATGTGGTATACTTTTTCTTAATTATTATTTACTAAAATGTAATTACACACACACACACACACACACACACACACACACATCTTATAGATAAACGCAATTTAATCGACAATCAGCAAGTAGTGTCATGCTATTTGTCGGTAAAGCAGTCTAGAATGCCTTTACAGATGGCAGCTCGAATCAGAAACTTAATTTTGTCCACATTGTGTAATTAGAGAAACCAGAATTTTCAACTTAATACGCACGAATAAAGTTCATCTGCAATATCAGAATAATTCCATGCGATTCTGCAATTAATGTTGCAACTACGAACGTAATTAAGCTTAGCTTATGTGATAATGATGCCCGTTTCACATTTCAACGAGATAATTTAATAAAAATGCATTAAAAAATGGAATCTGAAGAGAAATATTCCGCTACTGCATGTTAATTTTCTCCTTTACAAGAAAGACGTAATCAATTATTTTTTACTTGTATTATTCATTCACAAAGTTCAAAATATAATCTGTCTTTAAAGGCCTCTTTAGACGATCTATAATTTGCGACAAAATTCAAGATTGAATTCTACTTATTCTATTTATTTTTTGTGTGTCTGTCATATAAAACAGAAAATATTTTAATACATATAAATTAAAATATATATTAAAATACACATATACATTGAAACATGACGCATAAAAAGAAAATTATAAAGAGAATTCTGTCTTGAATTTTATCGTAAATTATCGTAATAGATCGTCTAAAGTGGCCTTAAAAAATATCTATAAAACAAAAAATATCTCCTTAAACATAAAAAAATGACTGAAAAAAATCAATGTTTTCCGTTATTGTCAAAAAACTATATGTAGACAATTAAAAGTTTCTTTATTTATAAAATTTGCGATCGATGCGATAGTCTTCATTGAAAGATTCCACGCGATCGTTAGTCCCGTATATCTAAAAGTTTGCCCTAATTTCGGCAAACAGAGAGAAACGACCGCCGCTAAGCTGAAAACGAAATAAAACAAGCCTAACTACGGGAGCGTGGCGGAGGATCCAAAACTCAACCTCAGCATAATATAATACTGAGAGAGAGAAACTATTGATTAACTGTCTACCACGTTGTACGTTTCACGAGCGTCCGGAGCGCATTGTCTTTTCGCTGCGCGATATCGCCGTTTATACCGTAGTTCGCAAGCGCGTAATACTCGGAAAATATCTCGGAGAGTAAATGCTTGGCCATAATACAGAATTTTGCATTCCGCGGCAAACCGACTAGAAAAAAATTATACTTCTAGGTTTGATTTTGATTAAAACTGTTTGCGGCGGAGCGCGCGGGCAACTCGCTCTTTCATAAAATTGAATAAATAAAACATTCCTGCGGTTTCCTCTTTGAAAACAAATTAAACACAAATCTTTCCCATAGCTTCTTTTGCCATGTTATTTAATAGAGCAAAGAAACTACTCACGACAATCATCTCGGAGGGCTCGAGGACGAAGCATTCGTTGGGTCGCCTGGCACTGCCACCCGTCCGCTTCCCGAAGCTGCAACACAACAATAACAAAACATTCTTAAGTTAAAAAATTGATCACATATTATACAAATGTTACACATTTTCTACATAAATTTTCATATATATATGTATATTAACAATTTTTTTAATGAAGTATCGGATATTAAATATTAATCGTCTTTTTTTTCTAAAAATTTATTAAATAAATCTCTGCAAAAGCTTACACCTCTTTCACAGCAGAATACAGTCACGTGACATCCGCTTTCGAAAAAGACTTTAACATAAAACGAAAATGAGGCACGCTTGCCAACATTTTGTCAATAGTCAGTAGTCTTTTCTGGCTTCTTTTAAATATCATATTTCACATGGAGGCGAAAAGGGAGCCTTTAAGATGTGATTCATCATACGAACCCCTCAATTTGACATCGTTTCGAATCGAACGATACTATACAAGTGTGTTCGCACGTTCGCTCAAATACATATTATTCCGTGATGCCACACCGTGATGCTACACCCTGGAATTAACTTCTACGACCAATATTGGGTGCCACGCCATCGACAGATGTTTCCCATCGTCGAAAAGAGCACTTCTCAAATTAGCCATAAAAGCGCAATGGTTCAGCCAATTTTCGACGAAAATCCCCTGCGGTTATACAATGGAAATAGCCGAAATGTAATTGTCTAAATCGAAGTCGCTTTTCCTGATTGGAGATAGAGTGACGTCACTCTGCTTCTTTTCCATATCATACTTTGAACATCCTTATGTCAGTTATGTAATAAATCAAAAAATAAAATGTCTAATAAAATAATTATTAATTAATATTTAAAATTATCGTTAAACAAAAGGCTATATTTTTTTATCTAAAATCCAGAATACACACGCATAACCACATAAGATATAAGATTAAATTATGAATTAAAAGCTAACAATTACATAATCTATTTTTTGAACGTTTTGCTTTTTCACACCTGTATTATTCGTCATTACGGAAAGTCCTCAATTTAACGGTGACGACCGTGAATCGAATGCCGATGCTCGACCGACCGAGAATCGGAAAAGCGAGATGATGGATAGAGAGAAGGTAGAAAGAGAGGTTGCCGAAGGCCGTAAGGTTGTCGAAGGCTGTTGACCCGCGTGTTATCCCGCTCCTCCCTCGACTTATACACGTACACACAAGCGGAGCCGCGATGCGTAACGCACGCGTAACGCATGCGTAACGTTTTGTTCATCTTGTGTGCGTGTATGTATGCGTACACCGCAGAAAATTGAATTCGACATGGATGATGCGTCTCGGCTTCTCCATCTCTTAACTGTACTGCGAGTTAACCCCGTAAATGTCACGTTGCACGTTTCACTTCCTTAAAATTATAATTATTTCGTTACCAGCTATCTAAACTCTAAACTATCCATTTTCAGCATTTGCGTCGACATTCTCGCCTTTGCTTAAAACAGATAGAAAAGAACAATCGATCTCGCCGAAAACATTTGATGGATTAATTTTAATGATAGTTGAGCGATATTTGATTTGACTGATTGAATAAAAATGGCTTTAATAAATTACTCGGTAACTGCAGACTTGAAAATGAAAGGTAAGGATTTGAAAATAAATAAATTATTTTTTTTTATTGGCCCCAAAGTGTACTCTAAAAAAAAAAATTTATAACTTTATTAATACTTTATTGACTAATTTTTCAGAGATTCATAGATTTAATTTAGTTTTTTAATTTATTCTAAACTGACATTTTAATATTTCAGTATCCAGCTCATTAGAAGACCGAGAGGTATACAAAAATTCTTGAAAAAAAAATTTTTGGGGATTACTTCTATATATATAAATTTAATAAATATTTATATGCACGCGATAAATGTTATATATATAGAGAATATAGATCTTTATAAAGTGATATGATTGAAAATATAATTATACAATTTATTACAAACACACACAAAATATAGAAAATTCATATATCCTATAACACTATATTTGTGAAAAAGATTTCTGATAACCTAATATAATATAGAGTAAAAACGACATTTAACATTGGTATGGATATTGCCAATGGACTTGCAAACAATTTATCGTATATCACCATGTTTTCCGTCAAACATTCACAACAGCAGCAATCAAAGCGCCACACGCGTCGCAGAATATTGCATCCGCTTTATTGTACAATGACGTTTAAAGTCCCAATGCAAGCTTTCGTCCCTAATCCTATCTTTTTCTGTTCCCATTTCCCGAAATATATCCGCGGGGAACATTTGTTATAATTCACTTTGGTTTTAACAGAAACTAACGGCATAGTCAGCTGTCTTATTGTTTACAATTTCGCATGCCTAAGCGTCCTTCCTCCCCTCTCATTCTCTCCCTCCCTCTTTCTCTCTGTCTCATTCACTCACTCACTCTCTTTCTAGTGACATTCGCGAAATTATTCGTTCCATTTTACGACACTATATATGTATATAAAAGGCATGTGGATCCACTCAACGTAATGAAATATTTCTATGACATCGTTAAAGCTATTATCCTTTCTATTATCCTTTCTTTTTAATCTTATTTACCGCGCTATTAGACTCCCCTTTTACGCGGCCGAGAACGCAAAATTGTCCGCTGACGACTTCTGCCATGGTGTAAATTAAATCTCTTTGTACTCATAACAGTGTGCTTAAGACTCTTATCAAAAATTGTTAAGAACGAAAAGCGCGATTTGGAATAGTACATCTTGTGTGAAATAATCGCAATAAAAAATATGTTATAAAGTAAATTTTAATTAGAGAAAAAATATAGAATATCATAGTTTAAAGTTATTTGGATAACGAGGAAAAATATATCCGCAAAGGATATAATATCAGCTTTTTGTATGTTTTTTTATTCAATTAAAACGAAAAAAAATATTTTTGCGTTATTATAATTTAATTAATGTTGAAAACTGCAACTAGATTTTATTCTTAATTTCATAGTTTTAACAAACTAGTTTTATATTTCTTTGCATAAGAGAAATAAGTTATTTGTACTTAACAATAGGCTGCGAGATTGTGTATGACTTGAGTTACTTATTCATTTATCAACCTACAGGACTAAAAACAACAATTACTTCTGTAATCTGAATCACCTCTGTTGTTTTTTATTATTACTTATGTAAAATGTAAATAATTCGCTTGCATCAAATTATGATAATAAAATGATTTGCATTAAAACTAAAAATAAAATAATTAACAAGTTTATACTAATAAAAACTTTCATATGTACAGATTACATATTAATATTTAAAAATATACCAAGCGACTACTAATGAAGAATTCATCTTGTTATTTCAATATAATTATATCTCGATTATATATAGAAAACTATTTGATAACAAATTCTTTTTTACATAAACTTTTCACGCGCGATACGAGAGATAAAAATATATATTTGTATACACCTATTCTCCCGCACACCATAATAAAAACATAATAAATAATTTTCACAATCGACAATCGAAATTTTCTCAAAATAAACCTTGCGAGGACTCACCACACGGAAAATCTCCTCCTGGGAAACGCGGGTGGCGGCGGCGGCTGAGCTCGATGAGCCCTGTCGACCGACTCGCTCCTAAGGGCTTGTACGGCCTTAGGCACGGCCCTGAAGGGCTCCTGACAGGCTTTCGTGCCGCCGTTTCCAACGCCATCGTTGAAATTACCCGTACCACCGTTACCACCACCGCCACCACCATGAAAGCTGTTCCATCTCCTCACAGGGCCCCTGTTAGCACCGTGATAGCCAGCATTATGGCCACCTGGACCACGAAGCTGGCTGGTATGCTTGTGCATCCTCTCTCGGCGACTCACGCTCAGTGATCCTTTCGCCACCAGGACGCACCGAGTACGTCCATCGTTTGCGTCGTAATCGTACGCGTTTGCACGCGGATCCGCTACATCTTCGATGCTTCTTTGCCGTATTCTGTTCTTCTTCAGCCACGCAACTTTGAGCACGCGGCAAGAATTGAAAAATACTTGTATCTTCAAAACGGATTATTCCGGCTTGGTAGTTCCATAAGCAGAGTTCTAAAGTAAAATCGATGTTCTTAGGTTGGATTCAGATCCTGATATCAACGAACACCAGTCACATCGATCGTCAATTTAAAGGATAAAATTAATTTATTATTGAGTTGCGAGTTAAGAGTCGAAACCGTTGCGCCTTCAATAAATTTATTAATATAATAAGACTTTATCTATATAATAGCGCGCTAATTTTATTCTTCCACTAAGCTTTTTATAAGAATTCTACATTCAAAAAGTCGCGGAGAATAATACAAAACATAATAAAAAAAAAGATCATATCTTATATAAAGGACAGACAATTCTCCTAAGTAGCATATAATAATAAAGAAGAAATACTGCACCATAATTTTTCCCATGATACGCACGTGATATTTGGACTCTGCGCCAAGTTGGCGACGGGGTCGAGTGGAGTCAAGTGATTCTTAGTAGCTCTTTCGTGGCTCGCATATTTTTATTACACGACCTATGGGATCTCGACTTGAACGAGCATGTTTAAATAGAGACTAATGACGTAGCGATGTCGTCTCTTGTTTCTTTCGGGCGACACCTTATCAAGCCAGTACGTTTGCTAAGAAGCGCGATAACAGGAAGAAGAGCTTTACATCGGCGGTCGCGGATAAAGTGTCGCGCAGACACAATGATCCGCTGATTATCGTATCATAATGCGATAAGCAATGCGATAAGCAATCTTATTTTTTTAAAGTTCGGGAAATTCAAGAGTGTCGTTAGAATCTTTTATTATTATTATTATTATTTTTAATATATGTATTAGATCATTGTAGAAATAATTATCTATCTTTTTCCCCGATTATAATTATTCATTAGTCTAGATAAAAACTAGATTAGCTATTCTAACATATTTATTCAATATGTCGCTTTTTACCCATACAAGTTTTTCACGTGTATTATTACTCGACATAAAAAGCTATAATTTACTTATCAAACATTTCAGAGTTTAACAAATAACTTGAAAAAGGAAAAGATAAAAAAATATAATAAAATTGTTTTCTGTGCATTCAAAGAGAAACAATTTATTATTTATACGCAGATAAAATATTTTGCACTTGTTTACGAATAATGGATGTACCGAAGAGTGAATAAGGTCCAATTCTCTTACGTTTTTACTGCCCTCTCTGCGGTTCGCGCTTTTTAGTCCCTGTTTTCCTAACTCAATGCGCGCGCATCATTCAAGGCATCATTATTCTCCGACAATCTAGCGAGGGCCGCACCCTAACTACGATTTGTCACGATCCGTCAATAAAAACCGACCAACTCTTCCTCTTTTCCAATAAAAGTTCGAACGATATGCAACGAGCGTGGCATTTTTGTGGCCGTCTTGGCGTTGGAATTCTTTCTTCGTGATTTCGCGGAGATTTGCCGACGTATCGTATCCATGAGAAAATCTCCGTAACGGAAAATCGCCTTACGCGCGCAAAACAGGGCACAAAGAAGTCCCGGCGAAAGAATGAATTTAAGAATGCACGGGAGAGATACGTAGATAGAGACCTTAGAGCCTATCTAGGCACGGAAATCCAGCAAGCTTGCACAGAAGCTCTTGAGCACGCGCTCAAGAAGCGGCTCGTTTTCTCTTTTCATCGGTCTGAGAGAATGGTGGATGAGAAAATAGTCCGGGATACAGTCACGCATCTCTGTGTGCTATTTTCGACGGAACCACGACCGACCGATCGATCTGATCACGTTGCGTGATATTGATTTTAACTAAACCATATACCAAATATACAAACGGTATTAATTCCAAGCATACCAAATACAAACGATATTAATTCCAAGCTTATAGTTAAATTAATTAAATTAATTATAAACATTAATTTAATTATAAAAATTAATTAATTAATTATAAAAATTATCCTATTCCCAAAATGATAAATGAGACTCATATATTAAAGTTAAAATCCATTAAAATTGCCAGTTTCAAGTTAATATCCTTTTTAAGATAGCTTTATGTTGCTAACATGCGAATAAAGTCCTGTGAAACATTGCTTCGTGCGAGCGTACGAAACGTATTGTCTTAATAGCTCACAGAGACAATGCGCTTCGGCTCGTTCGTTTTCTAGGTTCCCGACAGGAAATAAAAACAAGAAAATCTTCGGCTTTACTATTACTTGGAACGTTTCACATACAATTCCGTACGGAAAAGAGACTTACAAATCGGATATTTCTGTTGCACGAAATTGAAATAGATCGATCGCGTGCTCAGCAATGTAGGAAAAATGCTGCTACATCGTATAATAATATCACACAAAGTTAGTAAAAATAAGATAATTATATAAAAAATTATAATAACGATATCTTCAGATGCTAAGCTCCGTAATCGTACGAAATTTTAATATTTAAAGGTCGTAAGATTATATTAATTATAGAGAAGTACACCTACGCTTGCAACAGTGAAGGTCAAAGCGTTCCTTATCCGATTATGCAAGTGTTAAGAGAGAAACGGGAAACTTGAGGTGAATAAGAAGCGCGTGGAAATAATCGGCAATTAAGAGACGATGGGTCGCAAACAGGAAGAATTTCCATTTCTAGCGGAACACGCAGAGCGTGTCTTCCGGTACAACGATCCCGCGCGGCGTGATTATTAGTTATAGTTATATATCCATCGCCACACATATATATATGATTTTTACCGCGTTTTACTATAATCGAAAGTTCACGACGCGCAGCAAGAAACTCGGAAGAGTACATATGTTTTCATTAAAATAATGATTATTATTATCATATCATTTTATAATAAATACGAAAGACATTAACAATTTAATTAAATTCAATATGTGTTCTACTGATTCAAAAAAGTAAATATATGATATTTAAATTTTGGAAACCAATTTATTATATAAATTTTATACTAAAATTGTATACTTTATATAAATTTTATATTAAATAGCCAGTTTTTCCAGTATTGAAATATATATCTCGAGCAGATCTCTTAAACTCAAGTCCATCATCTGTGAGATTTAATAATTATTTCTCGACGGCCGACTGAGCGATTATCAAGCGCCAATGGGTTAAGAAACAATCGTCCGTCGCTATTGTCGACGACAATAGCGGATAGTCTTCGCGCGGCGACAATGCACGTGTAACAAAAGAGCCGCGAGATCGGAGAAAACAGTAATAGTAAACGAGCGAAACGAGAGAAGAGAAAAGGATAAGAGGAAATTGGTGAAGAGAGGAAGCGAGACGGAGGAAAGTCGGAGCGCGTAGAGAAGAAGATCCTTGCCATACAAGGACGACGACAGAGACTCGCCATTGTTGCTGCATGCCCTAATCCCAGCGATCCGCGAGTCTCTCACCGCGCTTTTGCTAACGAGCATCATTCCCATAAGTCTTTGCTACTGAACTTGTGTCGTTCCCCGGGTACCTGTTCTCCCGGGATACAAGAGGACGTTTGCCGATGCTCGTTAAGTGCAAAGGCTTCCCGTTTCAATCGATGTTTACGTTGCTGTTTGTGCATGGATCTTGAACGCGCGCGAACATACTAAAGCACTTCGATGTTACAGTAACATGCTGAACAACATACTGCAAATTGTTGACAAAAGTAACGGGAGAGAGACCAAGCGTTATTAATGAGAACGGCTATACATCTTTCGAGCCATTTCATCAAGTTGTAAGAAAATATAAATTTTGATTGCTGATGAAGTTGTAAATAAATCTTATAAAAGTGAGAGAGAATCTCATATATAAAAATTTGTTTTTTATTTTTACATAGCTGCATTTTGTATAATTATATGCATATAATCTATATATATATATATATACATATAATATTATTTAAAAAAATACTTTGGTATATTATCTTTGACATAACTACTCCAAAATCATGCGTTTTCTTTGATATGATTAAAAACATGCGGAAACTGCGACTGCGAGAAGCATCGAAGCGGAAAGTGCGACGCGGAGATGCATGGGAAGCGCATACACACCGCACACCGTGTAAAGCCATAAAGCTAACGCGGCCGCCCTCGTTTAACCAGGTTTTCAACTCCCTGAAGCCGGCCTTTGTCGGAGGCACACAAATCCGTATATGTCTACTCTCCTCACCGCACTCGTCCAGGTCTGTCCGGCCGTCTCGCGCCTCCTCTCGAGCGAACTCGTTCGCTCTCGTTAACGGAAATGCGTATCGTAATTCGAATCATGACCATAAATATATACGTGCGCGTGTATACCGTACATACGTACACACATATAACGTTGAGCGCGTGCTTCTCGGATTCTCTCGCGCACGCTATTGCGTGCGATGCAATCTACATGCAATTGCAGTTACGAGATGCATATGAAACGTGCGTAGAATATCTGGGCGTGTGTTTAAATGCATACGCGTTCGGCTTAATTCTGTTTTTATTTTTGTTTAGTAAAAAATTGTTATTGGTATTGTTCCCAATAAAAAATATCGCGCGCGTAAAAATATCTTTGCTATCTCTTTTTAAATTAAAACTTCTTTTATTTTCCATTTGATGTTCGTAATCGCACGTTTCGGATTCTAAATAAATTGACCGCTATTATTACACTACGATGATTATATACGGCTGTGATCGTTACAAGGACATCGCATCGCTAACTGAAGTTAATTATCCAAGGTTGTACGGCGGTGGTAATCGATTCTCGTTAGTTTAACATTATATTTCAGTTGTTTTGTTTATCGTACTATAAGATCGAGATACACTTCCGACTAAATTTAACGATTTTGTCATATTTCCTTTCAAAGATATTTTTGTAAAATAAAGATTATTTCTCTAACTGAAATTGAAAAATAATTTTTTATTGAATGGATGGCAACAAATAAGCGGCTACTAGAAATAAATTATTAATATTCAGTTAGTGAGAGTATAATCGATAGAAAACTCGCACGAATAGATATATAAAAATTTGCATTTTTTTAATACAAAACAGCGGAATCGCATAATCTGACAATTCCCCAACACGCTAATCATGGATTCTATTGTCATATTGTGGAAGATACAGTTATGAAAGATGGTCGGAGTGATGTA